GCCATGTTCTCTAGGTGGGTTTTAAATTTTATTTTAATTTATCATGAAGATCCACAAATTTCATTCACAATTTTATCAAAGAACAATGCTCTTGATGTGCTAAACCATCTAAATAATATTATCTTTTTGAATAAAATGGTCATTTAAAAAAGAAATCAGTCTAACAAATAAAACATTTGAATGTTTAAGTTATTTTGCTCTGTGCAAAAGACAGATATTTGCTGCTTGGTCTGGAGAGTGTGAAAAGCTGGTTTAACCAAGGCTGAAGATGCAGAAGGTCAAACTTCAGGAGCTGTCCATCTGAGGAACATGTTAGTCTAAAGACATTTAACCATGAAATGTTCAGTTTGTGATGTTTTTATGACATACACCCAGCCCCTCGACCACTTAGGTAGTTTACAAAATTTATGCAGAGTAAAAGAATAAAATAAAAACATGTTGGACTGATTTGGCATGATGTCCTGAGACGTTGCAGCTGATATGAGTCATAAAACGGAAAAGGGGGATGTTAGATGTCTGGATGCCCCTCTAGATAAATGTGTTAAATGAGTGAAGGAAAATATGAGCACCAAGCAACAACCCTATTCTCCCCTGAGAACCAGACCAAAAATTTTATGTGCAAACCTGCTTATAACCCTCCATTTTTTTTCCAGATCTAGAAACTGACATCTTAGTTCCCTCAGTCCAACATCATCTGCACCGTTGTCATCGGGTTTGGAGCCAGACCAGCAGAGCTTTAATGAGGACTGCCCAGCAGAACAAAAGGTTTGCTGATCGCCATCGATCCTCAGTTCCCACCTATTCAGTTGGAAAAAAGGTATGGTTGTCCACCCGTGACATTCATCTTAAAGATACACCAAGAAAGCTCTCCCCTAGGTACATTGGCCCCTTCACTGTTGAAAAAATTGTCAATCCTACTGCTGTGAGATTGCACCTGCCGTCATCGATGAGGATTCATCCCACCTTCCACATTTCTCAGATTAAACCTGTTATTGAAAACCATTTATACCCACCAACCAACACCCCGCCACCTGCCCGTCTTATTGATGGTCACCCTGCATTTACTATTCGTCGTATCCTGGACGTCAGACACAGAGGTTGGGGTTTTCAGTATTTTGTTGATTGGGAGGGATATGGCCCAGAAGAGCGCTGTTGGGTCCCGAGGTTTTTTTATTTTGGACCCATCTTTGATTTCTGTCTTTTACAGGGAGCACCCGGAGAAGCGGCTTTAATCGCCTGGAGGCGATGTTTGAGGAGGGGTACTGAGGCATTTGGTTGGTGCAGCCTGTTGATTGATCGGCAAATCACCACAGCTGGCGTCAATTAGGGTCATCTGCTCTCAGGCTTCTTAAGGCGGCTCTGAACATGGGTCCTCGCTGATCCATCGCTTGCTACTGGTAAAGCATGACAGCCTAGAAACTAGTTCCTTACCTGAGTCCTGTTAATGTTAATGTTAATGTTAATGTTAATGTTAATGTTAATGTTAATGTTAATGTTTACCTGTGCACAGAAAGCCTGTCTCCTGAGTTACCTGGACCCTCGCCTCCCTGATTCTGGAAATCACCCAAGAGCTACTCACCTGATCCTCCTCACGCTGTCACCTGTTTGCCTCCAACCTGAAAACGTCTGAAAGTACTCACCTGGATAACTTGCCTAAAAACCCTCTCCTCTATGCAGAAAAGCCTCATCTGAGCTGTAAGAAACTTCCTGTTTACTCAACTTCAAATTACTTATCTCCTTGGAAAAGACTGGGACTAATCATCTCCCTTTCCTTCCACAGCCCTGGTCCAAATTCCCTGTCACCTGTAAATAAAAGTACTTACCTTTTGTACTCCGTCTCATGAGTCTGTTTGTTATCAGTTTTTACTCATGTCTCACTATTTACCTGAAAACCTGTCAAATACAAATAAAAAAACACTTTCTACTTCTTACTACTCCTTACATTTGTTTAAAGGTAAGTACAGATAAGTGTTTGAAAATGTAAGGAGTAGAGCTAAAAAGTTGGCTGAAAAAATGACTCAAGTAAAGCATAGATAACCCGAATTTCTACTCAAGTACAACAACAAAGAACTTGTACTCAGTCAATAATGCAGAGGAGCAGGTAGAGGAAGACAGGAAGGTGGAAAACTCATTTCCTTACAGCCTGCCGGCTCTGAGAGTTAAACTTGAAGCAAAGTTTTTGAAAGATCCGTGATGCTGCCCTATACGTCTGTATACATCTAATTTATGGACAATCAATACAACTTGACATATGCTAGTAAGCAATAGCAAGTTGTGTAAAAATAAAAAATAAAAATAAAAAATGACATTAGAGATTGCTTATGAGGTGTTTTTTTCTGTAGCAAAATGAGAAAGTTCTCACAAAATAGGTCTAGTAAAGGCCTGTGAGCCCAGTTGCCAGTACGTTAGGTGACACACATATGGTGTAAAAAAACAAGCTCCCTGTGATGAACTGGTGACCTTGCAGGGTCTACCCCTCTCCCCCCACAGCTCGGAAAGGAAAAGGCCAACAAGAAAATGACCAGAGTTGTTTATGACCAGGGGTCAGATTTATAAGATTGCGTGGAAACCATACTAAAAGTGAATACACGGCCAAAAGGCAAAAATGGCATACACCAAAAAAAATCTGATTTATAAAACCGTGCGGACGCATGTTTCTGCGCATCTTTCCTTTATAGATCACAGCTGCACCTCAGAGTTTGCGCGCAAGGTCCCGCCTCAGGTTCTACCCTCTACACACCCACACTCAACCATAAACGGTCAGTGCAAAGTACCTCATGAAAGTTGTATTTAAATCAGTCAGCTGATCAATGTCAAAAAAAGTGATTGGCTCAGACTCTCCGTCGTGCGTCTGGAGGATGACAGGTGCTGACTGACAGCTGTTCACGTGAACAGATTGTTTTGAAGATTTACAGATGTTTAGAGCAATCTCATGACTTTTTTCAAAAACTCAGCTTCAAATTAATTTTTTCTGAGCCTGCAGGATGATAAAAACAATAAATAAAATTAAATAAGTCAGAGAAAGTTATAAATAAGTTCACATATCTTCTCCCCCATCCGCCCCGTCCTGCCTGCTCTGTAATCTGTTGCTGATCGTCTCCTCACCCTCTCACATCCCTGCGTGCGTGTGTGAGAAATACAGACTTTAAAAAGTGAAATTTTTATAACGCATCCACATGTGCAGGGGAGCACGCACCCAAAGCATGACTACAACCAAGCCTTTTGCTGCTGTGCTGTTGAAATGTCTCTTGTCGGGGAGGGGTCTGTGGGTCAGGGTCGTCTGAGGAGGAAGGAGATAGATGGAGATTTGTTAACTTGTATTTAAGATTTAAGTTTTTTTATTTAAAAGATCCTCATGGCTCACCAGCAGAATTATAAATAATACTGTTAATGGTGCGTTCACACCAAACGTGATTTCAGCATCAGGAGCATCAGGTTCACATGCAAAGTCTATGGTGGACACGCTTCAATCAGTGTCGGGAAGTGCTGCGGCGCCTCAAGCGTGATTAGAGCAGCGCGATTTGAACAATTTGAACGATCTGAGCGTTCGACGTGCTTGATGCGCAAATCGCTGAAGTTAGAAAATCTGAACTTTTGCAGCTCGACGCGCCGCGTCAACCAATCAGAGAGACTCCACTGTGTGACGTTAGCGACATATTTCCTGACGGGACAGTTTACTGAATGATGTACACTAACCTGAAACAGATGGAGTGGAGCTCTTTAGCTGAAATCGAGTGCCT